TTCTCTGTCAGTTTTCTCACTCCATTTGGTGCTTGGCTGAGTTCTTTATCTCTTCATTTGATGTTTTAGGGTTTCAGGATTGTTGTATTCTCTGTTCAGCTTAGTTTTTCGGATCTTTGCTGTGGAGGGATGGTGTGGTACTTCTGCCTAGAGCGCCATTTTGCCGGAACTCAGTAAGCTGAATTTTTTCAAAAAATTTGTCCATTTCTCTAAATTGTCAGATTTCTTGGCATAATGTTGCATAGCGTTCTCATAGTATTTTTTTTTTTTTATGTCGGTAGGCTCTGTTGTGATAACCCCCTTTTTATTACTGATACTGATTATTGTATTATTTTCTTCTTGATTGGTCTAGTTAGGGGTTTGTCAATTTTGTTATCTTCAAAGAATTAGCTTTTGGCTTTTTTAATTTTGTCTACTTTCTATTTCACTGATTTCTACTCTTTTCTTCCTTCCTTTTATGTAGTTTGGTTTTACTTTTCTCCCTTTTTTTTTTCTGGCTAGTTTCTTAAGGTGGGACTAATATAAGTGTTTAAATTATGCTTTCCTCTAAGCAATGCTTAACCACATTCAATAACTTTTGACATGTCATATTTTTGTTGTCATTCAATTCCAAATATTATTTAACTTCTGTTGTGATTTCATACTTAACTCATGAATTTGGAATTGTGTTGATTAATTTCCATGTAGTTGGGGTTAATTTTAAATTTTGTATTGTTTTGATCCTTATAAATTCATTGAAACTTTTTTTATGGCTCAACATATGGTCTATCTTGGTGAGTGTACCATGTGCCCTTAAAAAGCTGTATTTTGAATTTTGAAATTGTTGGACATAATGTTCTATAAATGTCAATTTGATCAAAGCGAGTGATAACCATTGTTCAGATCTTTTCTACTTTTACTCTTTTTTTGATGGGTCTTTCTATCAATATTGAAAGAAGAGTGTTAAAATCTACTATTGTTGTGGCACTGTCTATTTCTCTTTTAATTCTGTCAATTTTGCTTCATGTATTTTGAGATTCAGTAATTTGGTGCATACACATTTAAGTCTTCTTGATGACATGTCCCTTTTATCATTTTGAAATAGTCCCCCTCTTTATGGTGATAGTCTTTGTCTTGATGACTGTTTCACCTAATACTGAAATCTCCACTGGGGTCTTCTTATGCTGTTTGCATGGTGTATCTTTCTCCATCCGTTTACTTTCAGCTTATCTGTCTTTAAAGAGTGGCTCATGTAGGTAATATCTATTAAAACCAAAAACCAAACCTATTGCCATTGCGTCAATTCCGGCTCATAGCGACCCTATAGAACATAGTGTTTCCAAGGAGCCGCTGGTGGATTCAAATTGCCAGCCTTTTGCATAGCAGCTGAGCTCTTAGCCAGTGTACCACCAGGGCTCCAATATATACTAGAAGTTTGTTTTTTAATCCCCTCTATCAACTCTGTTTTTTAATTGGCACACTAGATTATTAACATTTAATGTAACTAATACAACTAGGTTTAGATGTATCATGTTTTCTGTTTACCTCCTGTTTTTTTCATTCTTCTACTTCCCTGTTACTCCCTCCTTTTGAATTTTTTTTATTTCATATTAACTCATCTATTGGATTTTTGGCTAAGTCTCTTTGTATTACTTTTTAGTGATTGCTCTAGGAATGACAACATACCTGCATAACATCTTAATCTTGTAACCACTCTGTGTGAACATGTAGAAAGTGTGCGATCATATGAGTCCTTCACTCTTTAGTCCCCACGGGGTCCTTTTTCTGGCCAGCATGATTATTTTTTTCCTGAAGAGTTTTATTTAGGCAGCCATGCTTTGGCCACCACTGCAACTGGGGTCTGTCTTTGAGGCAAAATCTCATGCACCGTGGACAGAAAACAATCTGGGAAACTTGTCATGTAAAGCTGCTTCTCTGTTTTGATATCCTTCTGCAATCCACCAGCTTTTTAAAATTTTAGCATCCTCAAGTAATTGTTTTTTATAGTTTGTCCAGAGACTTTAGTTGTAATTACTGGGAAGCATAGGCAGTAGTTGGTCTATGCTTTCAAAGTGAAACTGAAACTCTCTGCCTGGGTTTTCATTCCCATTCCAATATGTTTGACTCTGGAAAATATACTTAAATCTCAATGTCCCATGATCCCTATTTGTAAAATGGTAGTAACAACAGTACCTGACTTATTTTGGAGGAAGGGTTGTTTTATTGAGGCTAAAATGTGATTACGAATATACAGCACTAGTAACCTAGTAAGTCCTCAATAAATATTAATGGTTATTACCATTCATATATTTTCTAAAAAACTGAACACTCTGGATTAGGATTACTGGAATGAAAAATAAACATTAAGAACTACCAGTCAGAGGTTTAGAAGGTTAGCTACCTGATATGATGCTTGAAGAAAAGGTAGAAGAGGAAGGAGGATATTTAGGAAAGCAAAATGTTCTATGTAAATTTTACAGCCTTTTAACTACATCCTCAATGTAATTGATAACATATAGATCAATTGATACATATGGAATTAAAAAAGTGATTAGTCAATTGATATATATGAAATTTATCAAAACATAAAGTTGCAAGGAGAGTTAAGGTATCTTACCCAAACCCATTGCTGTCAAGTTAATCCCAACTCAACAGCAACCCTACAGGAGAGTAGAATTGCCCCATAGGGTTTCCAAGGCTGTAATCTTTATGGAAGCAGACTGCCACATCTTTCTCCCTCAGAGCAGAACTGGTATGCCTTTTACAAGATAGCACATTAAACAAGAATGAAGACTTTATAAAAAGTAAGGAAATAATTAGACATAGTAATTATTGCTTTCTAATTAAATGACCCAATTCTCTCTTCAAGCCTCGATTAAATTATGAAAAAAAATTAAACTAAGATTCTTACTTATTTTCTAGTAATACAACTCCTTCATTTGCTCCCTTGCTAGATGGCTGAAGAAAAACCTGCAGCCCACGGAGGATCTCCAATCGGTCATCCAGAGGCTGTCTGTGTTTGGCCCCATCCAGTCATTCACCCTTTGTGGACGACAAAGTGCTATTGTGGTGTTTAAAGATATGACCTCTGCGTGCAATGCTGTGAATGCTTTTCAAAGCAGGAGCCCAGGCACACCATTTCATTGTTCCTGGCATCAGCGATTCATGTCAAAAGATGTAAGACTCCTATGTAAACCCTTCAAGCGTAGTCTACATAATTATTTTCCCCATCAGGGCTCTAGTTAAATATAATCGTCATAAGAGCTATATTAGTACTGAAAAGAGGCACAATGGAAGTTTATTGAGTTCAAGTATTAGAAATCAGAAGTACTATCACACCCCTTCTTTTGATGTACTTGACTTGGTTTTAACAGTCATCACAGTTTTGCTTTTCTAGATAAGAAGTTCATGATCGCATTTGTGCATTCGTCTGACAGCCATCTGCCTTGGAGGACACTGCTTTCTTCAGAATTAATAGCATGTAGCTTTTCTTTCTCCACGTTTCTGATAAGCTGCTTTGAAATTCTCATGGCCTGAAGAAAACAAACCAACAATAAGGTCAGAAGTTATTCTGATTAAGAATGGGATTGTTCTATAATCCTGATTCTTGTTTCTCCACTGTTCATTAAACTAATCCTTAAGATACATGTGTAAAAGACCAGGAAAACTAGTTGCCATGGAGTCAGTCTGACTCATGGTCACCTCATGTGTGTCAGAACAGAACTGTGCTCCACAGGGTTTTCAGTGGTTGATTTTTTGGAAGCAGATCACGAGACCTTTCTTCCCAGGTGCCTCTGGGTGGACTCAAATCTCCAACCTTTTGGTTAGCAGCTGAACATGTTAACCATTTGCACCACCCAGGGAGAGTCTATAAAAGAGTACTTCTCAAACTTTAATGTGCAAACCCATCACCTGGACTTCTTGTTAATGATTCTGATTCAGTAGGTGACGAGCAGGGCCTGAGATTATACACATTTCTAAAAAGCTCCCAGATGGGTGCTAAAGCTTCTGGTTCTAGGACCACATTGTGATTAGCAAGAATATAAGAGCAATCAGGCACTAGCTACCACATATAACAAAGAAAATGCTATACTATAAGGATCTCCTAATATACAGTCAACCATCTGGCTTTCATCTGAATTCCAAGATAAATGTGCTCCGCAAATACTGTCTACCATCCTCCTCAAAGTTATCCCCATAAAGAACTGCCCCTCAGACTATTTTGTCCTGTAAGCCTTCATCTTAAGTGAGAATAACAGCACAATTAGAAGAGCGTAGTCAATGTCACTTAAATGTGTATGTAAAAAAAAATTTTTGAAATGGTGTATCTTTGGCTATGTGTATTTTCACAAAAAAAAAAAAGTTGAGAATTTAGAGGGTTAAAATGTTGTGGGGTTGTTAACCAATGTCATAAAACAGCATGTGTGTTACTGTTACATGAGAAACTATCCGTTCTGTAAGCCTTCACCTGAAGTACAATAAAATATTTAAAAAAAAAAAAAGAACTGCCCCTCTACCTTCACTTTATAGAAATGAAATGCTTATGAAATGCTTGCAAAAATCACTATTTCTAACATTTTTATTTTTAATTCCAAATTTTGATGTGGTTAAAGCCAGTTAAAGAAATGTCTTTTTATTACTTATTCTCTTAATGCAAATCCATTTTCTTTTTTAGGAAATTATTTCCATGGTTCCTATAAGTAAACACTGAATACTAACATTTGGGGGAAGCTTTGAATATGCTTTCAGCCTGGTCCAAACTTCTTTCTGAAAAGTGCTATCGGGAAAAACTTCAGTAACAAGTCCTTGAGCACATGCTTCCCTTGCTGTTAACTTCTTTCCAAAAATGAGCATCTCAGCTGCCTGAAACAAAAAGCAAAATTAAGACACGACTTCATAAAACAAAGGCTTTGGTAAATTTCAGAATTAACTACTTTTCAGCAGGCACAGGGAGACTCTTTTGTGATGGTCTGATTTCTCTGGAAGGAGACACTGATGACCTCAGTGACAGCAGTTGTGCTGAGACGCTGAGCCTATCCTAAGCACTCAGGAAGGGCTGTAGGCTGTTGCTTCTGTGTGTGTCTGCGTGGAGGGGCAGGAGGAAGAAGCTCGGGGCAGAAAGGACTTGAAACAGATGCTCATTACCTAACCCACAGCAGCTATGATGCTCTGTTTTACATACTAGAGCTCCACTGATTAAAAAGAAAAGAAGAAAGAAAGAAATCACGGTCACAGGAAATGTCATCAACTTTTAGAAACTCTAACTTTCAAAATTCTATTCCCTGAAAATTCTACCCAGTGGTCTACCTCTGACGGTTTTCTTTACCTGCACAGGTACTCAAATTCTATTTGTCTACATAAAAGGAAGGACACTACAGTTTCCAACAAAACTGAGAAAATCGATGAATGGATATCCTTTACACTTGCAACTTCTCTTCCAGGAAAGTAAAGACTTTGTCACAGGCAAATGGTCTAAGCCCTAGAGTTGGTTCTGCTCAACTTTTCAAAGTTAAAACCTGTATAACTCTTCAGGGTAGGTAACAGTATAATAACATTAAAATAAAAATATTTACAGCAAAACCTTAGTCAGTGAAAACAGGATCAACCCCTCTCTGTCCTTTCAGAGCTTGAAGAATGTGACCAAGCCTTGCCCTGTCTGCTGGCTCTCCAGACTTGCACTGATCCCGTCATCACAAACACAGAGGAGGGACCACTAGGTTTCTGTGGACACAGCGACAGGCCTGCACAACTACTTACCACCCTGGGAGCCTTCACACTGGCAGAACAGGTTGATCAGAAGGCTGTTGTGACTGGGTTTGGAAGTGGTGAACCCCATGAAGCCTCGATATCTGCTGCTACTTTACATGACTCTGAAGGTCAAGATGTTGCCATGTCACTTTCCACGTCCACATGCTGCTCATTCACAGCAATTAAATGGGACCCTGAGCTCAGAGGACTCAGGGAGGATGGCACAGCCCTGGTCCTTCAACTGACTAATGTCATACAGCCATCGAGGACAAGGCCTCGTGCTGCCTATAATGCAGCCAGTACTGCGGCAACCAGCTGGGCAAGTACTGTGCTGACTTTTGGAGCTGCAGAGAGAATTTCTCATTTTCTGTCATATAGACACTTCGTATAGCCCAGTTCCTGCATATATTAAACCCTTAGAGTTGGGAAGTAAATAATTCGCTTTTCATCTCTTTTGTCCACTAATCGGAAAGAAGAGAGAATAAGTGACAATTTTTGGAATAGAAGCGACTTATTAAATTGGAATACAGATGAGTCATTAAATTTTACTTTTAAGGATTCCCAAAGTTACCTTGGCTGAGCCCATTATCTTCGGAAACATGTAAGAGGAGCATCCTTCAGGACTTTGGCCCAGATGACTAAAAGGAGTATGAAATGTTGCCTATTCGGGGAAAAAAAAGAAAACCATCTTTTCATATGTGATTTTTTTTTGTAAGTGATTTTAAAAAAATCACTATTTGCCTATATGCTCACTATACTTGATTGAGGAAAACATTTTTTTAAAAATTAGGATTGTGGCATAATATATACACAATAAAATTCACTCTTTTAAAGTATGCGGTTCAGTAAGTTTTAACAAATGTATATAGTTATGTCACCACCACCACAATCAAGGTACAGAATATTTCCATCACTCAGAAAGTTCCCTTGTGCCCCATGGCAGGCAATCCCTTCCCCCATTTTTCCATACTTATCAAAATTTTATTTTCTACTAGGACATATATTACTACCTACTCTCCATTATTGACTACCTCATTATCCAACATTTTGCATTTGCAACTATAGTAAAAAATCTACTATCCAACTATTTTGTGCATTAACAATGTACGTCTGGCAGTAACGAATGCTGAGGTGCGAGAGTAATGCTGGCTGTGATGGTTAAGGTTATGTATGTGTCTACTTGGCTGGGCCATGATTCTCAGTGGTTTGGCAGTTATGTAATGATGTAATTTGGTAGTTATGTAATGATATAGTCATCCTCCATTTTTTCATAACACCAATTTTTGCATAACGATCTGGTCTTTGGAACCTAACCAAGCCGACAAACGAGGAGTGGGTGTATAGTAAGAATAAAAATTAATACATATAACTCAAAGGTGAACCATTTAAAATTACAAGGTGAAATTGTGTTTTTGGCAAGTAACTTCTCCAGGCCTCAGTTTTCTTATCTGCAAAGAAGGGACTTCAGAACAGGTAATGCTTGCAGTCCCTTCCTATTCTAAAATTCTAAATTCCAAAATGCATTTACTTGGAAATAAGTATCAAATAATCTACAAATATGCTATTCTGTCCCCTGATAACAAGCTTTCAAGTATCTCCTATTTTAGACTAATAATAACAATGAAAATTAGAACCGCTGTATAAATTGATTAGAATATGGAACCATCACAGAGTTGGCATAATGTTCATGGCAAATATGTTTTTTTGTTTAGGAAAATTTAAGTTAAGAGTGAAGGAAAAATAAAATTAATCAAATTCATTAGACTAAATCTTTGATAAAAATCTAAACTCAGTCCTTTCTACCACAACCCTATGTAATCCATTTACTACTATCAACAATAATGAAAAAGTCAAAGCACCTCATTTTCTGACTACTTGCCTAACTTCATACATCTCCGGGAGCTGACTTACCCTGTCGGAAGCATACACGATATCAAATAGCCCAAGAAGGGTGACAGAGATTCCCACAGCTGGGCCATTTACCACTGCAATCAGAGGCTTAGGGAAATCTATAAAACAGCCTACAAAATCCCTATAGAAATGGAAACAAAAAAGCACGTTCAAATTTCCCAAAGCAGCGTTACTGAATTACAGGCAAGACAGAAATGAGTCTGAAATAACAAGCCCTTCTCTCCAGGCAGGGTGTTTCCAAAACCGCAACCAGCAGTGCTTCCTGTCTTGTTACCTCTCATGCTCTCCCACCATATTCACCTGGAACATCTGTTTGAATGGTCTTGATGGAGGCAGATGCCTGAATCCTATAAGTGTACCTTGGCTTGAATTTTCCATTTTGGACACTTACATCTGGGCTGTAGGCTTTGAGGTGAGGATGGTGAGAGGTCATGTGCTACAAAACTGTAGCACCGTGGGGGTTGAGGATTTGGCAGGGATAATGAACAGGAACAGAGAAGCCACAGGTCTCCATTCTTCAAGACTACTCAAGTCTCCTAGTACCAGGAGTCATGGGAGCCATGCATTGGTCTGGCTGGATGAGCATTTGCTAAACTCCTCTGCCTCAACAGAAGAGGATTTTATTTACAACTGGAGTCCACTTTTATGCTTTCGAGTCACATCTGATATTGAGCAGCATGAAGATCATGCAACAGAAGTCAAAGTGAGGTAAAGAGTGCCCACATATCGATGGAGGCAGTCTGGAGAAATGTGCTTCTCCAACACTCACAATTCATCACGCTACACAGAGGGTCTGTATTTTACTTTGCTCAGCTAAATAGCACTTTGATGAATACGACTGCATCCTCTGAAATCAGACAAATGTCACTCTTACCTCAGTAAAATGGCACTATTTTTGGCCTTCTCTTCTACACCACCAGGGGGAATGTCAGTGAAGTTGTTCAGATCATTCCCGCTACAGTAATAGTCACCGTTTCCTATAAAAATACAATCAACAAATTCACCATTCATCCATTCAATAATTACTGAGTACCTATTATGTACCCAGCTCCATGCTACTTGAATCCACTGCCAATGGGTTGATTCTGACTCATTACAACCCCACGTGTTTCAGAGGAAACTGAGCTCCACAGAGTTTTTAATGGCTCTCTTCTTACTAGGCCCTTCTTCTGTGGCGTCACTGGGTGGATCTGAACCACCAACTTCTCAGTTACTAGCTGAGCGCAAACTGTTTGTGCCACCCAGGGATCTAGGATCCATGCTAGGCCCTGGCAAAACATGTAGGCCCTGGTGAACCAGCTATGGTTGTTGCCCTAATTTACAGACTAGTGAATTAAGTAGGACACTGATCTGAAAACATAAAAATAAATGTAAATAATGCAACTATGAGGGTGCTGCAATGGAGAGGTGTGTGATGATACGCGATCATGTAGCAGGGGGTTTGGTCGAATCAGGGAATTAAGGGAAGGATTTTCCAAGGAAGGGACAATTGAACTATCTGAGGGACTAGCATGAGTTAACCTGTAACAAGAGAGGTGGGAAGAATATTCCATGAAGAGGAAATAACATGCACAAAAATTCTGTGGAGGGAGGTGACTCATACATATGACAGGTTGAAAGAAGTGCCACTGTGCCTGGAGCAGAGCAAGTCAGGGGAGGAGGCTGTTGCAGGAAGAGGAGAGGCGAGGTGGCCCGAGCAGGGCTTTGTGAGTCGTGTTACATTTTATCTTTATTCTAAGCACTGGAAATCCATTAATGGTTCTTTTTTTAATTGTAGTTGACGTACAATGACCACTTTTCAAATGTTCAGTTCGGTAAGTTTTGAAAATTGTAAATACCCATGTAATTACCATCTATCTAAAACAAGACATAGAACATTTCCATCACCCCAGAAAGTTCTTTTATGCTCCTTCCCAGCCATACCATACTCCCAGCCCACAGAGCAATCACTTTCTGACTTCTATCACCATAGATTAGTTGTGCCTGCTTTAGAACTTTATATAAGTGGACTCTTACAGTATTTACAATTCTGTGTCAGGTTTACTTTGCTGAACTATGTTTTAAAGATTCATCCATGTATGTATCAGTGTTCTGTCCTTTTTATTACTAATATTCCACTGTATGAATAGACAACAGTTTGTTTATTCATTCATCTGTTGATGGACATTTTGAGTTCTGAATCAGACCACCATGACCGTTCTTGTACAAGTTGTTTTATGGACATATTGGCGGGTCACCGAGCTGATGGGTACTTAACTCTATAACAAGTTGCCAAATAATTCTCTGAGTGTTCTTATACCAAAAATGTACAAGAACCCCAGTTGCTTCACATCCTCACCAATATTTGGTATTGTCTTTTGGATTTCAGTCATTTTAGTGGATGAAATACCTCATTGTGGTTTTAATTTGCAGTTCCCTGATGACTAATAATAATGAGTACCTTTTCACGTGCTTACTGGATATTTGGATATCATCTCTTGTCAAGTGCCTAAATCTTTACCTAGATTTGAAATCTGGTGGTTCATCTTTTCATTATTAATTTGTAGAAGTTCTTAATGTATTCTGAATATTAGTCCTTTATCAGATTTATGTACTAAAAATATTTTTTCCCAGCCCATGTTTTGCATATTCAGTTTTTTCCTAATGTCTTTTGATAGGCAGAGATTTTTAATTTTGATGAAGTCTAATTTGTAATTTTTTTTAATGGTTAATGCTTTGTGTGTCCTGTCCCAAGAAATTTCTGCCAACCCCAATGTGACAAAGATACTCTATGTTTTCTTCTAGAAGCTTTATGTTTCTGGGTTTTATTCTTATGTGAACAATAAATTTTAAATTAATTTTTGTGTAGGGAGTAAAATGGAGTCAAAGTTCATTTTTTCTCCCGTATGGATATTTTGTTGCTCCAGCAACTTTGTTAAAAGACTTTCCTTTCTCCGTTGAATTGTCTTGGTGCCACTGAAGAATTTTAAATGGGGGGGAAATAAGATTTTTATTTGGAAACAGACCGGACTGGGCAGAGGAGAGAGGAAGGCAAAAAGGGGTGACGATAGACTAGACAGGAGCCTACTTCAGTTGAGACAAGAGTCCACGGTGGCCTGTAGTAGTTCAGAGGAGACAAAAAAAGGACTGATGCTAGAGATACTGAGGAAGTGAAATGGGATTACACTGGACATGGGAGGTGAGGGAGCGATGAGGGTCAATAATAAATGTTGGGATTCTGGTCTGCGTAACAGGATAGACGTAGAGCCAGTCACTGTGATGTGGGAATACTGGAAAAGGTCCAGAGAGATGTGTGAGGTGGCAGCTAAGAGGGAGTGTCAAGCAGGTGGATGGATACAAACCTGGAGCTCTGTGGAGAGTCCTAGATTGAAGATATAATGTGGGGATCACTGGCATACACTGTTTTGAAGCTGTGGGCATACGTGAGACTAGGAACAGAGCGTAGGGTGAGAAGAGAAGAGCGCTGAGGACTAAACCTTCAGGAACTCTCTCACTGACGGCCAGGTGGAGGAGTATGAATCTGCAAAGGCGATACAGGGTGAGCAGCCTGAGATGGGAGGACAACCAGAGGCAGGCAGTATCACTGGAGCCAAGGGGAGAGAGAAGCTCAAGAAGGAACAGACTCCAGATGACATCTGGAAAGTGATACAAAGTTCAGTGGGACTTAAGCAGAAATGAGGTCAGTACAGACCAGACTGGAGTGAGTTCAAGGACAAGTTTCAAAGAAAAAATTCAAAGGACATGTTTGTTTTGTGGTAGGGGTTTTATTTGACAGTTACGTTTGAGGTATTGAGAAACAAAGGGCTGTATTTGTTTTGGTTACATTTTTATAAAATTTGTTCTTGAATTTTTTCCTATTTCCACCAGAAGCAAACTGTACCATAAGTAACATTTTCAATAATAAACTTTTTTTTCTGAAACAAACTCTTGAGGGGGTGGGTACTCAACATAGAAAAAAAGCTAAGAGCTGAACTAACCTGTGGAAGTGGGCTAAGAAAAGATGTGACAGACTAAAGAAAGAAATGAAAAGTGGTCTGGGAGGGTCACACAAAACATAAAAAAACATAACCATTAAAGAAATGATGATCCCATTAGAAGCGGCAAAAAGAAGAGACGTTATTAAAAACATAAACAGAGACTCAGAGTACAGGACTGAGATAACTAAGCAAAATAAATAAAAAGAATAGAATTAAAAAGAACTAAGAGAAAAGGATAGGTAGTAGTCCCAGCACACCAGACATTTCATCTCTATAATCTAGACTCTCTCTCAAAGAGAATGGAACAATTAAAATAAAAATATTTAAAGATATTATCAAAGAAAACTTGTAAGAAGGCCTTAGCAATTTAGTTTAAAAAGATATGCATTTCCCAAGAAAAAGTGATCAAGAATGATCAAAATAAGGACTAGCCTTGTAACTTTACTGGACTTAAAAAAAAAAAGAAAGTATTCCCTGGTCTACTAAGGAAAAAAAGGTCATCTTATAAAGAGATTAAAATGAAAAGTTAATGCTGGCCTCAAACTTCTGCACAGAACCATTCAATGGTAGAAGATAATGTAGCAATATTTAATAGACCATATGCTTGGAAGGGGGGTTTGAGAAGATATCAGGTGATACATGGTAACTTCTTTGGTTTTCATAGGGGAAACCAATAGATACTGCCCAAAGGTAATAACACCAGGTAGAGATGTTTATGTGCACTACATAAAGCTATAAAAGTAATTATTAGAAGTAAAAATTTCCTAATTATGAGAAACAAAAGATACATAAAATAGAACAAGGAAAGCAGACTACAAAGTAAAAAATAACAAAGGAAGTATTATGAATAAAAGGCACATAAGATATCAGAACTAAAATCTAATATACCTGTCATAAAAATACATCTAAACAAGATAAATTCACCTTTGTAAGAAAAACTCACAGAGTAGATCAAAGGGCAAAACCCAGCATTATGTTATATAAGACACTGCTTAAAAAAAAAAAAAAATTCAGGAAAGTATAAAGTTAAAAGAAAGAGCAGAGACATGCCAGACAAGTGCAAACAATAGAGATGCAAGTGTCCCCGTATTCTTACTTGGCGAGGTTGAATTCTAGGCAAAGAGCATTTAATCAGACAAAGACAGACATTTTGTCATAAAGGATAAACTCCACAAGGAAGATCTAACTATCATAAATCTTTTCATGCCAATAAGACAAAAACTTACATTAAAGCAAAAACTTTTTTTGACACAAAAGAGAAACTGACAAAAACAATAGCAATAGATGCCTTTAATTCACTTTTTTCAGTCCAAGACAGATTAATTAGAAGAAAAAACAGAATTTGGGGAATATAAATAAGCTAAATGAGAAAGGTAAAGGCTAAGTAATATATATTTAACTCCACACCTTGAAAATAGAGAACGAACTTTCTTTTGAAGTGTTCCTGGACAATATAAAAAGTTGGCCATCTTCCAATTCTCTATCTTTAAGGAAGTGATGTAAATATATAGCAATAGAGATGTAAAATTTTAATAGATTCTAAAAAATAAAACTAGTAAAATTTATAATCTCTGATTATAATAAAACTAAGAATTAATAACGGAAACGGAAAACCAAAAAATTCCTTCAACTTTCTGGAAATTAAAGGAACTATTATTATTATGTAACAACATATATTTGCATGTTAGCTGAAAGACATACATCTAAGGATATTCATTGTAGCACCATTTAAATAACGAAAGACTAAGTATAATCTACACATTCATCAATAGAGAAATGATGAAGTAAATTATGGAATCCAAAAAATTTAATACTATGTAGTCATGAAAAGAATGACTCAGAGTATGTACTGACAGACAATAATTTTTCAGAAGATGTTGTTAAGAAAGGAAGGTGAGTATAGTATGTGTATATTGTATGCTTCCTTTTCTGTTAAAAAAAAAAGTGGGGAGAAACAAATACACACACACACACACACACACACACACACGCTTGCTTACATAAACATAGGAATTTTCTGGAAGCCATCCAGGAAAACAGTGTTTCTAGGGAGTGGGTCTGGGGTTCCCAGGAGAGTGAGTTTTATGTATTCCTTCATATTCTTTGGACTTTATCTATTTGCCTATATTACACTTTTAGTTAAAAAGCAAACAAAACACCTAGTTAATTAAAAATAAACTTCTCTCCTTTCAAACCAATGCCACTTCCAGACTTTACTGTTTTTGTCAGTATTATCTCTGTCTCCTAGATTACCTAGGTATTAAATATCAAGGCTGTATTTGATTCCTCCCTCCCTCATGCCTCCTTTTCCCCCATCTAATTGGCCATTAGATCTCTCTCTCGTTACTAAAAATAATCTCATAGCTCTACATAATATTATATAAACTTTAATGAAAATTAAAAGAAAATAAAATCACTCATGATTCTGTCATGCCAACAGACAGTAGCCGCTAATATTTATCACGTGTCTGCTCTGTGCCAGGCATCCTCGATGCCCCCAGCGCACATTTCATACAATCATCTCAACCAGCCGATGGGTTAGCAAACACAGTGTTCTCCATTGAGGAAGCAGAGGTCACCCGCAGTTAGTAAGGAATGAAGCCAGAATCCACACTCAAAGTCAATCTGAGTCTTAAGCCTAAGCCTTAATGACTACACAACAGTGCCCCTTCCAAATCACATTTCTTCCCAATTCATTTTCTATGTTCTCATCAGTCCAGATCCATGGGCATACATAATATTTTCCAGTTATAATCACAGTACTGATACAATTTTTAAGTTGATTTTTAAAATTCTATCTTAAGCATCTTCTATACTGTTGGTCTTCACAAGTTTTAATGCTTGTGTAGCAGTCTAGTGGATGTTCTGTGATTTGCTTTATTATTCCAACAGCATATTTAGAATGTTTTAATATTTTCACAATTATAAGTAATGCCGCAAGGATTATCTTTCTTGCATAAAGTCTTTCCCTTTTCTTGAATAACTTCCCTAAAATAAGTTCCCACAAGTGGAATTCCTGGGCCAAAGGATATGAATATTTTATACAGTGCCAAATCCTCCTTTTCTTTAGCTATTTACAACTTTTATAGCCATTCACACTGCTGTCAGCAAGATACTAAAAGAACCTATTCTACCATTAGGAGCCCTGGTGGTGCAGTGGTTAAGCACTCGGCTGCTAACCGAAAGGTCGGTGGTTCTAACCCACCAGCTGCTCTGCATGAGAAAGATGTGCAGTCTGCTTCCGTAAAGATTTACAGCGTTGGAAGCCCTATAGGGTGGTTCTTCTCTGTCCTATAGGGTCGCCATGAGTCAGAACTGACTCGACAGCAATGGGTTTTTGGTTTATTCTACCATTAACCAAACCAGCTGCTGTAGAGTTGATTGTAATTCATGGCCAACCCATGTGTGTCAGAGAAGAACTATGCTCCATGAGGTTTTCAATGGCTTATTTTTAGGAAGTAGGCTGCCTGGTCTTTCTTCCGAGGAGCCTCTGAGTGGGCCTCCAACCTCTGGGTTATCAGCTGAGTGTGTTAACTGTTTCCACCACCCAGGAACTCCGTAACTTTGTCAAAACTGGTTATTATTTAAAAAGCTGCTTTGCTCATCTACTTAAATACAAAATGGTACCTCCTAATTTTAATTTGTTCATGTGGTCATTAATGAAGTTATATTTTTCCTTGTTTAATACCTGTACTTTCTCATGAATTGTCTATTCATTTTACTCACCCATTTATCTAGGTCTTAGTACTTTTCTTAGCAATTTGTATCTTCTTTTTACGTTATAAAGATATCAATCCTTTGTCTATCATATTTTTTGCATATTTATGAATTAGAGTATCTCCAAACTGGAAAAGATCTTAGAATTTACCTACTCTAGTTACCTATTTAGTAAGAAATCCCCCCAAATGGAAGTATAATTAAGAACTGAGAAAATGTCTTACCTGTTAACACAGTTATGGCTGAGTCATCCTTGGCCGCTGCTTCAAGTGCAAGCATAATTTCCTGATACATCTATGTGAGTGAAAAGATGAGGAAAACAAAAGGACTCTGAAAATGAGAACCATCACCCAATGGATTCACTGTCAGTTTGCAAGCCTGCTCTCTGCAAAGTGATGCACATTTATGTTGGCTGTATTTAAATAACCAAACAGATGGAATAATGTATCTGAAAGGATTTTCATTACTTTTACAAACAATTACTTGGTACATATTATGCACCATGTGTTATAGTAGATGTTGGGGGATACACCACTTTTTTGGAATTAACAGAGGATTATAGTGTTAAAATGGGGGAAGGGGTGGAAAACAACGAAGCAGCAAGTAGCTCAGAAAAGACACTGCAAGTGGCCTCGGGAGGGCAGGATGAGAGGTGGTGAGAGAGAACTTTACATGAAGCGATGTTTAAAGTGGTGACCTCAAGAAAGATCAGGAGAGTTCCAGGCAGTCTAGGAAATGTTAATGAATGCTAAAATGCTGAAATTCCCAAGACACTGTAATGGTACACAAAGACAACGGACCCAGCATTTTAAACCAACAGCATCTCTCAAAATCTTGGATTTGTCACTGTTACAATGTTTAATACATTTAAAATAGGTACAGTTTCTAACATATGAGATTTCAACGTGAGAAATGATGAGAGGGCTGATAATTATGGACACACAGATGCTGAAAGAACAAATAAACATATGGACTTTACATAATATATGAATAAAAGTGAGGGAGGGAATGAGGAAATAATTCCATTATTGTTAGAGTTATGATGACACAGCACAACAAGATGGCTGGCAAGAGCCAGGATCAGGAGTCGGATATATTACGACTTCCATTTAGATTTTCCTGCTTATTAGTTACGTGAACTTGAGCAAATTAATACTTAACCTCGCTATATTTCATTATCCAATAACAATTAACATAAGCACCTTGTGAGAATTAAACGAACCTCTGTGTGAAAAGTACTGACACTTTCTAGGCACTCTGTGATAAACAGCCATTATTATTATTACCATGCTCCTATAAGAACCAGTCAGGGAAAATGGAAATAAAGTTTTGAGAATCAAATGCTTTATTACAGTAATCGAGCGGCACTTACGAGTCCTGGTTGCCCAGTGGTTAAGATCTCGGCTGCTAACCAAAAGGTCAGCAGTTCGAATCCACCAGCTGCTCCTTGGAAACTCTATGGGGCAGTTCTACTCTGTCCTGTTGGGTCACTATGAGTCGGAATCAGCTCAACAGCAACAGGTTTTGGTATCCAACTTTAAGGAATTATTACTTAAGATAGCCTCAAATTCATATGCTCTTTCTAGGAGTCCCTAGGTGGCACAAACGCTTAAGTGCTCGACTACTAACCAAATGGCTGGCAGTTCGAACCCACCCAGAGGCACCTTGTAAGAAAGTTCTGGTGATCTGCTTCCAAAAGGTCACAACCTTGAAAACCCTATGGAGCAGTTCTCTGAAACACACAGGGTTGCCATGAGTTGGGATCCATTCCATGGCAACTGGTCTGATGGTATACTCTTTCTACTACAGTGCAGACTGTACACCCAGTGGAGGGGTTCTTGTTGTTGTTATTAGCTGTTGTTGAGCCCTCTCTAACTTTACTCCCAGTTCAGCACCAAGCATCCAATTAACTACCTATGTTTTTTCAAGGATGAGAGGAGTTGGAATGGTTATTTTTATCATTATTCTTGTTCAATAACAGGCTAAAGTTGTCTTTGGAAAGCCACTCACTTCCAGCAGAGGTGGGTCACGATCTACTTCAGATGAAGTTCCACTCTCCTTTCTCCATTTGTATGAAACAAAACAAAACACCTCTATGTGAGTAGAATCATACTCACTCTGAAATCTAAGCAGCATGAAGATAGTTCTGGGAGCATTCTATGACAGGTTGATCAACCCTGGAGGGCCTCTATATTCTTTGATATCAGCATATATTTCATATATATTAATTGAATTTATTTTGCTTCCATTATCAGGGAAGTCGCAGTGCCTTCTGGGTGTACAGACCCCACTTGAACTCACAAATTCTAAACACTGAATGCTGACCTCTGTTGTATAAGAAGTGGTCACAGTTACTGATCTTCCTGCTCAACCAAAGAAGAGACATCACAAGAATAGGAATGATGCTGAAATGACAGTTTTTGAAAGAAACAGAGGAGGGGAAAAAAAGGCCGGACATACTCCGAGGGGAGGTGGACGTTACCTGAGTGGTGATTGCATTTTTTTTGGTGGGACGGTTTAACATGATCTTTGTGATGCCATTTTCCGAGGTCACCACCAGGGTTTCATATCCAGGCTGTTTACTGTCAGCATCAGGCTTCCCTTGGCTAGAGGATGCGGATGAACTCAAACTGGACACCAACTCCACATAGTTTTGCTTGGCAGTTTCCTGAAGAGAAGATGCCAAAGAGCTTCAGGCCATGGTCAATGAACAAGCACTCTGAGAAACTTAGTAACCTAAAAGGTAGCACTTTGCTATGCAGAGTACAACAGAGGTACCTCAAGATCTTGAAGGTTCCATCTACAATGGCTTGATTAGGGGAAGTACAACAAGTAAAATAAAAGCACAGGAAATGCAAACTCACCTTGGGTAGGCTGCCAAGGGCACTCCATGCGTCCCATTTGGCCTTACTGATCAAGTCAAGCATACCTGGTTTGGGCATATTACAAGGTCCTTCAGTGGCCTGTGAAAACGAGAGGGATGGTGAATGCTCAAACATCCAATGGAGCCCTGTCTACTTAAGATCCATAAACTCCACAGCTAACTGGAAACCTTAATGGTCACCTCCCACTTCACAAAAACCTTTCACAGGGCACACGAATTGATCTGAACTTCTCCCTGCCTCTCCTTGCCCTCTCTTTGATGGTGTGGCTAATAATACACAAATAACAGGAAAGAGGCTAGAGAAGCAAATGCCATCATATACAAAGTGTTGGGAGATAAGGGTTTTGGGAAATTACTTTAAAAAAAAAAAATTCTAATAGTCATTTAGCTTTATATTGATAATCACATATTTTTCATACACAAACAAAATATTCAGGTAAATAACCTTCACAATAAATTAGCCAACAAGCATTTAGAAAGCCACAGTACAAATACCACTAAGTCTGTAATGGACTAGCCAACAGAGTCACTGCCAGGAGACAGGCACAGAGCTGTCACTGGCCCATAGGAAACTTAACTGAAGGACATGCCAGTAAAAAGCAAATAGCAAATGAATTTTATTTCAGGTAGGTGGAGTGGGTGTTTTACGATAGATAAAATATTCCATTCAGCTACTTTTCAGAAGTGGCAATTTAAAACTCCACTTAAATTTTTTAATTTTATAATTAGTTAAAAGAGGAAAGAAGACTTCAAAACACAAAGGCAGTAAAAGAGACTAAGGCTGTAGACAAAGGGACAGAGAGCCACACTCGAGAGTGGGCCAAGGGAGAAGTTAGAGGGAGTATAGTCCCCAAGATCACCTCACTTCTGATACCAACTGCAGGGAGCCCCCAAAATTTGCTAGGACTCACAAAACTCACTGGAAGCTGTTATACTCATGGTTTACTACAGGGAAAGGGCTCAGATTAATATCTGAGATGCCTGGGGTAGAGTCCAGGAGGGGTTGAAACGTGGAGCTTTGTGTTGTCCTCTCACAGTGGAGTCAGGCCGTGCTACCCTCTAGGTATCGATGTGTGACAACACACAGAGTACTCCCCTGAGCCTCAGTGTCCAGGCTTTTTACTGGGGCTCCATTATGTCAGCACGTGGCTGATCTCAGTCTCCACTCCCTCCAGGTGTGACCCAAAACTCCTCCCCGACTCGGTTCACTTGTTATTACCTGGTGTGGCCAGCCCCCCAACTAAATCACATTGTTAGACCATCTGGTGTAACCACAGCCCTCAGGCAAATGAAGACACTCCTATCAGGCAGGACATTCCAGGGGCCTCGAGATCTCCTTCCAGAAGCCGAGGGCAAAAACGAGACCTCTCTTTGGGCAAGGGTAAATTCTTCACTACACACTCATATGAAAGTAAGACAGGCTTATACCAGTCACAGGAAGAGAAAACAACACAGGAGCCCAGAGGACAGATTTCTACAGGGAAACACCTTCATCTCATGATTTCTGGACATTGCCAAGTTAGAGGTTTTATTTTTTAAACTTTGTTATAAAAATTTTCCAACATACACAAAAGTAAAATATTACAACAAATCACCAATGCCTACCACCCAAATTCAACAATTATCAAGTTCTGCCATATTTGCTTCACCTATTTTCTTTTTTTGTTTAATTACTTTAGTGAATCCCCAGAACCATGCTATTTTACCCCATCAGTCTACATTTCTAAAAAATAACATTATATAACCATGATGCTATTAATAATAATTCCCAGATATCATCTAATACTCAGTCCATATTCAAACTTCCCCAATTGTCTCAAAAGATCTTTTTCAATTGATTTATTCTAATCAAGATCCACATAAGGTCTACACATTTGGTTGTTGTATTTTTTAAGTGTCTTTTACTCTGGAGTGATCCAATATAGAAAAACTCGCATGTATACACTCTTCAGAGCAAAATAGAAAGCCAAAATATAAACAGTGAATGTTAGTGAAACATACAGCATATCTATTTGAAGAGTCATCTGCTCAAAATGGCTCTCCATAATATCTGACCTTAGACATTTACCTGCTTATACAATGCATAAAGTTTTAGTTTCATTTCATTTCCTGGGTCTTTCGTCAAGAGTTTCATCTGATTCACTGCACTCTCAAAGTCCTTCTGACTGGCTCTCATTGCTGTTTGGCTCTTGTGCATTTGAAGTACCGGGAAGTTACTGATCTGCATAGGGCTACAGACAGACAGACAGACATCAACACTCTGCAGCCTGATTTCTGATTGTTCCTGACCCTTACAGACCAAAACGCTGTGTCTGTATAAATATTTTCTCTATACTTGCCCCAGCAAGCTAGCTGCAAATGGTTAGGGGCTTCCAAAATGATCCCTACATACCAATACAGAAGCTAACCATAGTAACTTTAGAGTAAGAGAAAGGAAGCTACAGTCCACACTACTGACAATTCAAACTAAGTAACGTAAAAGCTTTCAGTCAGCACCCAACTGGCCCAGTAAACTTTATCAGAGGCAAGAAGTAAACGAAAGGTGAGCAAAACAGAGGAGAGCAGAGACCAGGGGAGTAACAGGCACTGAGAATTAGTTATGTGTCCCAAGGTCCAAAAACAGCCCCTGCACTCCCATAAACAAGCATAAATCATTGCTAGGTCAATTCTTTCCTCTCTGCTCAGCAAACCGTATGTCCCAACATACAAACTATTGTGGATGAGGGGAAAATGAGCAAAGAACCAAGAAATGTTTGGAAGGGCTGAGGAGGAGGTGGGTGATAAGTCGATCTGCTGTGTATGCTCCACTCTGGGACAACGTTCAACCAGCCAGGAGCAGGTAAGAAACAGCAATTGCAGCCAGGGGATTAGCGTTTTTAAACAGACGGGAGGAGAGGGGAAAGCTTCAGATTACAGCAGTGAGGCCACAAAAAAAAAAAAACAACAAAAATGAATGTTGACAATGATGACCCTGCATAACAAAGTTAATGGCATCAAAGACGATTAACAAATTACAAATAAAGCCCAAACCCAGCAAACGTCTCACCTCCCATAACAATTATATAACTTTCAAATTGTACATTAAACACTGGGTTCAAAAGGAATTCAATCAAATCAGGCCACAATAAATTTTATGTTAAATAATGAAACTCCTTTTTCAAAAAGGGAAAAATGCTGTATCCTACATGAATTTGGCACCTGTCAAATTCCAAGTAGGAAACAAAAGAAAAATTTAAGGTGTCCACAGATAAGGCCTAAACGTGCAAGTTCCCACCCAATGTGGTGCAACAGGCAACTACCTGTCTAGTTAAAATAAAGTGTGGTTTTAAAAAATGATAAAAATATGACCATTTAAGAACATACATACAACTGGGAAAACCACTGGTAATCCCACCACCTAAAGACGATTTCCGAGTTTGTTGCAGCACTTAGTCCTGTTCTCTATGCAGAGATTGTTGGGTTTTCACTTGTGACTGTGTGCCCCACCATTTCACTTAACATAGTGTAACACACACCCACACACACACACACACACACCCACACACACACAACCAAACTCGTTGCGTTAAGTCGATTCCAACTCATAGAAACCCTATAGAACAGAGCAGAAAGGCCCCCTAGGGTTTCCAAGGAGCGGCTGGTGGATTCAAACTGCTGACTTTTTGGTTAGCAACCAAACGCTTAACCACTGCGTAAGGTAAAGATCCTCCAAAAAGCAAATCGTTTGATCCTACACTGAAGACAACGTCTTGCATTTCTACAGCGTTTAGAAAATAAGCAAAACGTGCCTCAACCCGCGACTACATCTGAGCAACTTCCGCTCTGCAGCATGAAAGACTCCGGGGAGGCGTAGCGGCGGCCTCCGGGCCGGGTGAGCGCGAACCCGCATCCAAGCCTCCCGGACCCCGCCTTCAGGCCCGTTCCGGGCGCCTGTGAGCGGGCGGGGGCAGACGGCGGCGGCGCGCATATAACTTTCTCCCAGGAAAACCGTAAAAAATAACGCCTTTAGCTGCCGAAGCCAAATCGCAGAGCGTCTTAGCGCTTACCTCCGGGCGTACCTCGGCCGCCAGCTCCGCGTCAGCCTTGCGACCACCTAGACCAGAGCAATTCAGAAGCGGGGCCAGTCGGCCGAGCGGGACGAGGCTTGTGGCCTGGGAACCCGTCCAGGGCTCAGCGGCGCTGTGGGGGTGGGGCCGGGCCGGAGAGGGGTCGTGGAGGAGCGCGCGGGGCGAGGAGCCCGGGGTGGAGAGGGGCGGGGGTTCAAGGGCGCCCAGGCCGGGGCGGCTCGGGCGTGGGGGAGGGGACAGGGGACCGGAGAGGGGCCCGGGCGGGGCGCACGACCACTAGGGGCGGGACCTGGGGGATCGTCGAGGTTGGGGTGGGGCTGGGGGCCGCGGGAGAGCAGCCGCGGCGCGAGAGGCCGGGGCGAGGCGGAGCGGGACTCACCAGCATGGCGCCACGGGGTAAATGGCCTGCCATTGAGACGCAGATCCAGCCGAGCCAACCCGGAGGAAGGTCAGAGGTGGCGGCGCGGGCAGGTCTCTCTCCCAGCGGCGCGTGTGCGTCAGGCCTTGGCGGGAGCCTGCCCACCTAGGGTGAATCTCCAGCGCCAGGGCAGACGGACGCTAAGTAAGAGACAGGAGGTGCAGTCACAGTCGATGGGTGAGGCAAAAACCGTTATTCATTCCAGAAGATAAAAGGTTAAAAGCCCTGTGGGACACTTGACAATCGGAAGTGGTTCCTGGAATATTGTATAATCATCTTTTTGTGTTCGTAACCGTTCTGGAACGAGTTTTCCATAAGCAATTGCAAAGCATTTTCTCTAGGGACGAGGCTGTTAAACCTCGTACAGTTCCTGGGAACCCCAAAATCATCATCATTCAAACCAGTGCTTAAGGTGTAGTACAGGTAGTCCCCGAGTTACCACGAGGTTCTGTCCCAACCGTTCCTTTGAAGTTGGTTCTGACACAAGTAAAATACCTTTTTTTCCCCATTATTATTGTCTTTTTTTTTTTTTATTCAAGTGAAGGCTTACAGAACAAATAGTTTCTCATGAAACAGTAGACACATGTTGTTTTATGACATTGGTTAACAACCCCACAACATATTAATCCTCTAAATTCTCAACCTCTTTTTTTGGTGAAAATACACATAGCCAAAGATACACCATTTCAAAAATTTCTACATACACAGTTCAGTGACATTGACTATGCTCTTCCAATTGTGCTGTTATTCTCACTTAAGATGAAGGCTTACAGAACAAAATAGTTTCTCGTTTAACAGTTGCTACAAATGTTGCCCTATGACAATGGTTAACAATCTCACAACACATCAGCAATATCCTTACTCAACCTTGGGTTCCCTATCACCAGCCTTTCTTGTCCCCTTCTACCTTCTGACCCTTGTCACTGGACCCCTGTACCTCGTTAGTCTCATTTGGTTTTAC